CTCCGTTGCGTGTCACTTTGCGTTGAATTTTCGTTGATGTTAAGACTAATGAAGACTATTGTATCATTAAAAATTATTTTTTTATTTTGTACAAACAAAATAAATATATTGAAAAATATAAAAACAATAAAAAATTATACTTCAGAAGTTAATTTAGTATCAAAAACGTAAAATATTTGAGTGGCCGAAGGCATAGCCAAAGATAGCAGCGCCACAGCACTGGCGAAAATTTAAATTTGCCGACTGGAATTCTTTCGGATAATTGACGCTCTACTGTATTTTATAGAAATGTAATATCCATATCTTGAGTTTGGATGTATGACATTATCTAAATTATATATATTTGAACGTTGTAGAAATTGATCAAATGGTCTAGAAGTGTATAGTAAACAAACAAACACCCGCACATATAGATATAGATATATATATATATATATATATATTAGAATGTATTGGCCATTCGTATGAATTTCGCATAAACGAAATACAGTTTAAAAATCGCTTCTTACAATTATGAAAGATAATGAATTAGAGAACAATCGATATTAAACATTCGCAGGTTACTGTGAAATTGGCAGAGGATGGGGATCAGGAGATTTCTTTGCAATTTTTTGTTTTTCATGTTGACGAGAATTTCGGCTGTTCTGAACACTTCTGGATCTGTTTCTTGCAGTTCCTGCAACAATGAATATTCTTTAATTAATAAATTAAAAACTTTAAACATAAGAAAAGCACTTTAACCAAACAAATATCAAAGTAAATACAAATTAATTTTATCGTTCATTAATACAGCCGCGACACATTTTCAATAACAAAACCAATTTGTAGTTAACAGTCAGTGAACACCTTTGTTAATGAAACTTTCTCCTATTGTATAATATTCATATCCTCCATCTGTACAATAACTGCATAGTAATTTACTGTCGATATAATATAACACGAACAATAAATTTACTTTCTTCATTCAAATGTGTATTTATATAAAATTTATTTTTAACGAATATCTCTGATTTTAAATAATTATAAATACCAAACTAAGTGTTAAGTTAATTCTTAAATCAAATACTGTAACAACATCCAATATAATTAATAATTTATATTTCCCAACGTTAAACCAAATATTCTCATGCAGCATTGAATTTCAAACAGAAAACAATAAATCAATACCATTTGATGTGAAAGGTGTCTGTTTATGCAGGAAACAATCTTCCTTGGAGTTTGTAGTGAAGCGACATTGCCAAATTGGTTCAGAAGATTGCGAAGTTATGACTTTTTCGTTTCTGTTAAGATGCTTTCCTTGCATTGCTCTTGAAGCCGACATGTCGGAAGAAAGGTGCTCATGACACTGTTCAGAGATTTCGAAAGTCATTCTCACGCCTTCTTTTCCAATTTGCTAAACAATTAAGAAGTATTTATAATTATGCAACATTTTATATTCAATTGAGACTTAATTGCAGAATTTCATTATAACAATGATACACAAGCTCTTATTATGTGAGTAGGATTATTTAATGAAAAATAATTAAATTGCTATATGGATTTTTACCACCACAAAATATTCAGAAGTAAGTGGAAATATGACAAATCAGTTGAATATTGCAAAAATGTAAATTAAACTTAGGGACAACGTTATTATAATAGAATATATTTGAAAAAGATTGTTAAGAATAAACACATTTACAATTAGATAACTTCCTACACGTAAACCGTTGTATATGTTACTGTTGTAAACCATAATATATTTATAAACTATATCAAATGATTAAAATATGATATATTTTCATTTACCTGAGACGAAGATTGTTTTCCTTGTGTTGAATTAAATAGTTGCTTCTTATAAAATAAATTATTTCGCTGTTTAAATTTTTCTAAGCAATAGTCGCACTGTAATGCTTTTGTCTTTTTTATCACTCCTCTCGTGACAGCTGGTGGAGATGAAGATTCAGAAAACTTTTGGCAAAGCTTGTATTGATACTTTTCCATATTATCTGATATCTCTGCAAAAGCTAACAAAAGAAATTATTTTAAAACTCTACTAATTTCAAATAAAGTGAATAAGGTTTATATAACAGAAAAAAATATAATTAGTATGTGTTTGTTTATATACACTTCAGTAGAAAAATTAGTGTTCAGACAATGAAATTTTAATAATTGTTTCTAAATTAAAGTAAAAACAATAAAAATGTCAAAGACACAAAAATGATCTGAACACTTGGGAAAGTAAATTCTTATAATAATATGATATTAATTGTAAATTTTCGATAGTTATTTTAACAGGTATTTACTTGTGCGATTCTAAAAATGAATGTTCTTAGAGAAAATACTTTAGCTATGTATATTTCCAGTAGAATTCAATTCTTTAAAATGTGTTAGCAAAATATGTTTGTCTAAATTGTCTTCCCATATAGATGAATAAACGCAACTTATCTGTACTTATCGTTAGAATTATTAAGATTTAGAAACAGAAGAGAAAATGAAAATTACGTGTTATATAATTATAAGCGAACTTATGTATGCAATGTAATGTTTATGTAAACATTTCTGTGTGTAAAATGTTAAAACCACACGTACTTACCGCGAGTAACGAGTAAACGACTGGACCGAAAGAATAACAAATTCAAACTTGACACCTGCCCCACTAATCACTATACCACCCCCCTGCGTTTTTGATTAAATTTTAGGAAATCGACTCGCCCAGTTTAAATGGTTTCTTAAGCGCTTATTAATCAAACAGCGTGAAATCTCTAATCGGCTCTTATATTATATTCGGTGCATTACTTTTTAAACCCTTGAAATAATCTATTAACTTAACATTTTTACATTTATATAAATATAATTATAAATATGATGATAAAATATAAATGTAATATTTATAAAAATATTTAAAATATTTTTATTTTAGAAAATACAGTGGAAATGGCATTTCTACGGCTTTCACGGGCAGCACGCCACTGATATATATATATATATATTTGATATTAATTTTAATCTAAAAGTGGGCAATTTCAATATTTATTTTGATAAATATCGAATCTTAAAAAATAAATTTCGTATTAAAATTTATTAAGTATGAAAGTTTATATACACTTCACACAATTTGATTTACAAATTTAATTGTTGATGTAATTATAATTGTGTTTCGGACGTATACTGATTACAACGACAGTCGAACACCGGTTTAAATACAGTGTGAATGACTGTACAATACAAGTTGCCTTGTCCATTTATAGACGATTAACAGAGTCTTTAAACTGATAAAAACACTGCTTTATGTTTCGGACGTCACTTTGCAGGTCATCAGACTCGTTATTCTATGGACTTTAGCCTAATCGAAGTTGAACAACCAGTGCAGAAATGTCTGTCTGTCAACTCAAAACGAAGAAAAAACCAACCCGGGTATAAATGTCAAGTCCAGAAAATTAAATCGAGCCGGGTGAAACGTCATTTCCGGGTGGCAAATAGTGAAACAAATTATGGTTTAATTAGAAAATTTTTATTTCGAGCGTTTTCTGAGTTTTGCATCATTTGCAGCCACTTTGTCAGTAAGTTCAGATCACGAACTTTCTAAATTTAGGTATTTTTCAACAGTGTTAAGCCGAATATCACACAATTAGTGGCAATGATTTTCTGACAAAGCTCCATTTACATAACAATTGATCATTTTGGTCACAGAGACGACGAATGGAGTCCTACCGCTTATTTTGGGAGATATTTTTCACCCATTTATTGTTAATTTTTCGTCCAATCGAGTTGTAAAAGATCTGGAATTGTTAAAGCAAAACGGGAATTAATAAATATATTCAATTGTTATTCTCTCGCTATGGTTCATATCACATATGAAAATTTGCGCCACTTTAATTAGAATTTCTCTTTGAATATATGTCTCTTTAATCCAAATAAATACAACACGGTAGACTTCCTCTCACCTATCATGTTAGGTTCTTTTTTATTGCAATTCACAAATGCATTTCGGGCTTATACAATATCTAAGCCTCTCTTCAGTGTAAATGCTACATATATTAAATGAACAAACTATTACTTAATTCACCAATTTTTACGCGTGTAGATCATTGTTACAGACAAAAATAACTTTTTTACATACCTCAGCAGACAGAGCAACGATTTTCAAATTCTACCGGTACACTTAGATATGTTTTTTTTAAACTAAAAAAACATGTCTGTATCTGGTGACCAAGTACAAAGATATAATAAAATTTGACGTTAAAATCGTAGATATACATTTTTCATAAAAATATCACAATAGTAACAACTTGATATTTTCGTATTTAAACCACGACGTATCTTTTAAACCGCTATCAGAATAACTGCAATTAATTAAATTGTCAGTTTTACAAATTATACATAAATGATTTAACAATTTTAGAAAAAACTGTAAATACTTAATGTTTTCACTACTTTCTTAAAGGTTTTTTTTTAAACTAAGGCATATTCTTTAAAACGCTATCGAAACAACTGCAATTAAAGTAACAGATTTACAAGTTATTAAGTAAATGGTTTAACAGCTTTTAAAAAACAATATGTACATAATGGTTTTCTTAACATTTATCCACAGTATTACATTAGCAAACCTCACACCACATCACTATTACAAATTATTTCTTCTAGTCACGCCTTCTATCACATTCCAAATTATGTCAAAAATATATCAAAGTACAATTAAAAACCATAGAATGTTGTGCAAATAGCATAAAAAATGCAGATGAAGCCATAAATAATATTCATAAAATAATAAAAGGAAAAAATGATACGTTAATAAGCTACGATGTCAAGAACATGTATCCAAATATAAAATCAAATCTAATTGAAACAAGCCTAACAGAGCTAGACGTTGATAAAACATTAATAAACCTGATTAAATTTGCTTATACCAATAATTTTGAGATAGACAATAATTTTTACCAACAAATGAATAGCGTTAGTATGGGTTCGAAGAAGGGACCAAAACTAGCTGAATTAGTTATGAACAGCGTAGATAAAAAAATACAAAATATTCCAGTGTGTGAAAATCGTAATGAGATATGTAGATGATTATTTAGTACGTTTCGGCAACGTTTTTAAGTTATTTTGCTACTTATAAATCAATTAACAACATAGCTTAATTCAAAGAATATCTTGTTTTTATGATGTAAAAAATGTCATTTTATAAATGTAAATTATACATTTATATGTAAACTAGGTTATTCTGTAAACCAGGCCGTCATTCAAAACCCGTGTACAATTATTTGTTATTGATCAAAATGTTCTACGTTTTTATATATTAAACACTACAGGATTTCTCCACGCTGTTACCCAAACTTGAAATCTGTAAGAGACGTGTAACAAAAAGAACTAGGCCTACATGATTATAGTTTACATATTTATTATATCGATAAATACGTTACGGGCATTTTATATATTTCTAGCAAATTGAGATAATTTCATATACGTACAAAAATCTACCTTATTTTTAGGAGCAATCAATTAATACATTTCCGGTTATTTTATACACAATCCTCCTCCTCATTCATATTCATAATCTGTGATAATTATTGCATTTCCTAATGAATTTCCGAATAATTGAAGAAGGTAATAAAGTTTTGAAATTTATATTACTTTAGCTTTTCGTATTTATAATTAAACGTACTTATAATGTTATCGATATGCAACACATTCTAAGTAAACAAATTAGTTATACAACTCAATTAACTAGAAAAATGTTTGGTCTAATTACATGTACGAAAACGTTTACGAATATACAAGAAACTATTCGTGATCTAAATTTAAACAACGTTGTGATAAATTGTAATTTAATTTTTTTAAGACAACGCGTCCTTATTAAACCGCGCTTTAATTCATGTCGTTAATTAACTTTTTTATTACAAAAGTTAGTTTATAAAAAAAACCATATAAAAGTTAAAACTAATCTAAAAAATCTTATATTTGACAAATATAGCTGTAGGATGTGTTATTCTATCATTTAACAAATAGTGAAATTTCACATGTGCATTGTTTAGAAACCCGTTGACCTTGACAACAGCCAGTTTTAGCTTTCACAGGTTGTTTACATGTATGCGTGTGTAAAAGTTCGATTGATAAAGTAAACACCCGTACCCGAGTTTTTTCAGAATCGGTACTTAAGGCCAAAATGTATGTGTGAAAATATAAAAATTAATCATTATTTCACATAAGATTTTGAAATAAATTTATAAGAGACACTCTTTTATACTTGTTTTATTATTGACCATTACAAAATGAAAAATTACTTTCTATAAAAAATAACAAAATTGTGAATTATTTAAAAAACTAGGAGTAAATACTATATTTTTAAAATGCATCATTTTATCTATTAATACTATTGAACTTAGACTAATTTAACGTTTAACACTTAATAGAATAGCTTGTTTTCATCTGTCAGTGGTGAGAACGCTTTAAAATTAACACCTAATGTTATATTATCTTTAGAAGTTCGCTATCCGGTCTTTCATCTCTATTGTATAAAGTAGGACACGGTGGTAAAGACGTGTACCAGCTTATCATTAAGGTTTAAATATTCTTTGTTTGCATTACACAAACTTAAACACACTCGATTCCACACAGGCAATGCTATGTTCTACCTGTCTCAGTAATTATATAGCGGGTATATTTGGCGATATATCCTTATCGCAGTAATTAAATGAATATAATATGTATATAAATATATATTGTTTAATTATATCGTTTTTTTGTAAGGATTATATATAGTTTATCACTTTCCTAAATTTTTGGCCAATATAGAGCGTAACTTACGTGTAACTCACAATTCCAATGGAGATATAATATGGCTATTACATTTCTATAAAATAATTACTTTATAAGTTTGGATGTACGACATTATCTAAATTATATGTATTTGAACGTAACTGTTAAGTTTTGTAGAAATTGATCAAATGGTCTAGAAGTGTGTAGTAAACAAACATCCGCATTTATATATATAAACATATATATAGATTGAAATTTATTAGCCATTCGTATGAACGAAATACAGTTTAAAAATCTAACAATTTTGAAAGGTAATGAATTACAGAACAGTCGATATTGAACATTCGCAGGTTATTGTGAAATTGGCAGAGTATGAAGATCAGGAGATTTCTTTCGTTCTTCTATTATCTACAATTTTTTGTTTTTCATGTTGACGAGAATTTCGGCTGCTATCAACACTACTGGATCTGTTTCTTTCAGTTCCTGCAACAATGAATATTCTTTAATAAATTAAAAATTTTAAACATAAAAACACTTCAACCAAACAAATATTAATGTTCAAAGTAAATACAAATTCATTTTATCGTTAATTGATAGAGCCGCGACACATTTTTAATAACAAAACAATTTGTATTTTATAGTGAATGGACATCTTTGTTAATGAAACTTTCTCCTATTGTATAATATTCATATCCTCCATCTGTATAATAACTGCATAGCAATTTACTGTCTTCGATGATTTTTCACAAAATTGTAAAAAATTCGTATATAATACGAACAATAAATTTACTTTTTTCATTCAAATGTGTATTTATATAAAATTTATTTTTAACGAAGATCTCTGATTTTAAATAATTATGTATGCCTCTTTAATCCGAAGAGATGCTTAAATATTGTATAAGCCGAAAATGCATTTGTGAAATGCAATAAAAAAGAACCTAACCAGATAGGTGAGAGGAAGTCTACCGTGTTGTATTTATTCGGATTAGAGACATACATTCAAAGAGAAATTTAATTAAAGCGGTGCAAATTTTAATATGTGATATAAACTATAGCGGGAGAATAACAATTTAACGTGTTGTAATTATTAATTCCCGTTTTTGCTTTAACAATTTCAGATCTATAACAACTGGATTGGACGAAAAATTAACAATGGATGAAAAGTATCTCCCAAAATAAGCGGTAAGACCCCATTCGTCGTCTCTGACAAAAACGATCAATTGTTATGTAAATGGAGCTTTGTCAGAAAATTATTGCCACTAATTGTGTGATATTCGGCTTAACACTTGAAAAATACCTAAATTTAGCAAGTTCGTGATCTGAACTTACTGACAAAGTGGCTGCAAATGATGCAAAACTCAGAAAACGCTCGAAATAAATCGCTTTTAACCGCACATACAGAAAATCAAACAGCTCGCAACAAATTGTCGGAGTTTTATTGTCATGTCGCCACGAAATTTAATGTAAAACGTGTGGTTTTTTTCAGCGCATTTCCTGATTTTTGCGCCTCCCTGTCGCTGAAAATGCCGGATTTTCGCGGATCATTCCTTGCATATACAGTCGTCTTAACAGTAATATGAATTCAAAAATTTAATATTTTCGTGTTTGTATAAAGGCGAATAAAAATTTCGATTTAATGATGATCCTTCGAACCAAGAAAAAAATAAAGGGGTTATTATACTTCGAGTCTATCAATCTATTAATAAACTCAACTTTTGTTATATTAAAGTGTCCGAATTTTACACAATACCTTACACATGTTAAGGACTATACGTTCTGAAATACACGAAAGATAATAAGACTATTGAGTCACTAAACACTATTCTTGAAATGGATTTATTCTTCCATTTAAAACGAATTAGAAACTTCATTCTAGTCGCAATAAGCCGTGTATTACAAAAAAAAGAAAAGTACAAGTACGATTTCTAACTCAAGTTGTCTCCTGCTACTGACACATTTTGTTGAAACATGTATAATAGCTTACTGCTGTTACTGATAAATTTTAAAATAAAATGATTACCAATTACAATAATTTATAGGTCCCTTATATGAAATATTTCATTTTCGTAATATTTGGAGTAAAGAAATAAGAAAAATGCGGATATTGTAGTCTTAATCGACATAAAAATTTTCCAATTAAACCATAATTTGTTTCTCCATTTGTCACCCGGAAATGACGTTTCACCCGGTTCGACATAATTTACTGGACATGACATTTCATCCCGAATAGGGTTTTCTTTTCGTTTTGAATTGACTGACAGACATTTCTGCACTGGTTGTTCAACTTCGATTAGGCTAAACACCATAGAACAACGACAGTGTGATGACCTGCAAAGTTACATCCGAAACAAAGCAGTGTTTTTACCAGTTTAAAGACTGTTGTTAATCGTCCATAATTGGACAAGGCAACTTGTATTGTACAGTCATTCACACTGTATTTAAACCGGTGTTCGACTGTCATTGTAGTCAGTATACGTCCGAAACACAATTATAATTACATCAACAATTAAATTTGTAAATCGGATTGTATGAAGTGTATATAAACTTTCATATTTAATAAATTTTAATACGAAATTTATTTTTTAAGATTCGATATTTATCAAAATAAATATTAAAATTGCACACTTTTAGATTAAAATTAATATTAAATGTATATGATATATTTATATATATAGGGTAAGGATGCCGAATATGAGATACCATTTTTATTTTTGACTATAAAAAAATAACTATTACACTTGGAGCTTTACAAATTACAATTTTGAATGGGGAATTTAATATATTTAACAATATAATTGCTATTTAGTCCTAAGCATAATACATTTTTAGTTATATTAGATAAAGTTAAAAAAGTCCGAAATCACGTCTTAGGTAAATGGTCTCCTATTATGAGATACTAGGGGTACCCCAGATTCTGGACAGTCTTGACCCGTCCAGATTCGATCCCGGGTCCCCCAGAGCGGTAGGCTGTCACCGTGACCTCTTGGCCATCCGGCCTTTTCTGGGGTATCCTTAGGAACACCGAATTGTTTTGATGCCTTTAAGTAACCTATTTGATTGCTCCGTACTGCATCCACGGCTCGTATCATGGCACTGTGGTGCCAGGTTTTCCTTTTAATTGGGGCCATCTAAAATATATAAAAAAAGAACTTAAACTAATACGTATACTTTCA